GATATCTCGTAAACTATTAAAAGTAGAAAGGTGAGTGATGGCTTATTTTAAAGGCCTATTAGAGACATTTTTTATGATATATCACATGACCTAAATTTTTTCCAAAAAAAAATTAAATTTCGAAAATTTGATATGGACTGACCCATACTTTACAAATTATCTCTAAAACAAATTATTTTATCAAAATTTTATAAGAGACAAAAAATTTTCAACAATAAATGATTACCTAAAAAAATACCGTTTGAAAGTCATTGGCGCACGTACTAAAAAATAGGGGGAGTCAGTGAGTACTGGACCCCCCTATTTTGATTATTTGACAATTGTTTTTTTTGTTTTTGTTGGTCTCAAAAAATGTAACTATTTATGTTGAAGTAGTGTACCGAATTTAAACTTAATATCTTATCAATTACTCGAATTATTAAAAAAAATCAGTTTTAAATTTCAAACTTTGTCGCCCTGTATATCGAACATGAAACTCTAAATTGAAAAATGGTATTATGAAAGTCTTATTGTTTTAACTCAAGGAATATATGGTTAACGAATTGACCTCCTTTTCCCGGACACCCTGTAGTTGCGATTTTTTGACAAACATAAACGCGCAAGCATGTATGATATACATGTATGACACAAATGCATGCCAGTTTATGGTAGGGTTCAAGCTATCAAATATCTAAAAATTGTTCTTATGAAAACAAAATAAACAAGGCTTCTGCAGTGAGCTTGAGTAAATATGGTTGACAAATGTATTTTCTGACAGTTTGTGTCAACCGCCCTCGGTGTAATACACCACTGCAGACTACAAGCCGAGAGTTTGTGGGTTTAAATCCCACATGGGTATGGCTGTTTATTTGTGTGTTGTCAGTGTGTACTCCTTTAATTGGTGCCTGTTGAAAGCACATACAAATAATAAAATAAAACATAAAATAAATGAAATTGAGAACTTAATCGTTATTACTTTGTTATTATTAACAAATTTTAACTTCTTATTTATGAAATGTCTTTTTGTCCTGGTATTTGTATATATACATATGGTCCATATGATATGGATATATTTTTTATTTGAATTTGTCAGAAAAGTTGCGTATGGTTGAGACATGATGTCGAAAATCAGTCTGAAACTACTTATTATAGTGATTAGTTACTAAAAACAATCATACCGTTAAAAAAAACAATATTTGCTATCAATTTTTTTTTTAAAATCTCTCGGTAGCATGACGTCACGGTGTTAATATATATATATATATATATATATATATATATATATAAAGTTATAAAGTTATAAAGTGCTCTTTTAGTTCCACCCTTACATCCAAACTAAGATGTCCCATAAGCCAACTGAATGGCTTGTGCGGGTTAGGGGTAGGAACGGACCGACGGCTTTAAGTCCCCTCCGAAGGACTATACACAATGGACAAACACAAATAAACAACCATACCCAAGTATATATATATATATTAGGGTGTTTCAAAAAAATCGACTTTTTCTTTTTCTTCAAATGGTCAGCAAATTCTTTCAGAGGATGTCAAAACAAAGACCTCGTTAAAATTTGAGCTTTTAATTTGAAGATTTAGAGGTCGCGGATCGCAATTTTCTATTTCCCATTTAAATAACATAGGAATTTTTTTTTTTAACTTTGTAATTTTATACGTCTATATCGAATCAACTTATGGCAAGGAACATCTTAGATTTTTATAGTAAATTTAACGCTCTATAAAAAATGTCTCTTATAATTTTTCTATAAATTGATTTCTTCCAGAGTTATTCGAGGCCAAAGTTTGATTTCCGTCGAATTTTCTCGGTTTTTCAACTTTTAGCATCATGTAGTAAAAAAATCACATATTTATATCTGAAACATAGGAAGTGTTTAAAAAAAAACAAAAAAAACAAAAAAAACGTCACTTTTTTCCAAAGCCTACTACAAAGTTTTAATGAAAATATGAGATGTGTATAATATGCAAAGTAATTTATTTATAAATGCATTTTTCTCGAAAATGGTGCATCTGAGCAATTCAAATCAAGAGTACCTATTTTTCGTAAAAAACTATAAATTCTCATAATTTCATAAAAAAAATTAAATTATTAACCCAGAAAAAAGTTGGGGCTATTTTTGTAACTTTGCCCCCTCCAAATGTTACGCCTATGATTAAATTTTAACAGTTTTGATCATAGATCTAGATTCAGCATGTCAAAATTACCAAAGTACCTACCGAAAATTCATTTGTTCATGTTCATGTTCATGTTCAACCCTCTAGGAATAGTTTTAAAAAAATTATCCTCTTAGGCTCCTATTCAGGGGGCCGTAGCTCCTTTAGGGAGCATTTTTTGATACATGTTTATTAAACAAAAAAAGTGTTATTTTTATACGAATAATGCACTGTTTAAGTTTGGCCCCCTGATTTCGGGACACCCGTATAATGATAATTGTACCATAAATGTTAAAAAAACGCGAAAATTCGATGGAAATCAAACTTTGGCCTCGAATAACTCTGGAAGGAATCAATTTATAGAAAAATGATAGGAGACCTTTTTTGTAGAGCGTTAAATTTACTATGAAAATCTAAGATGATCCTTGACATAAGTTGATTTGATTCAGACGTATAAAATTTCAAAGTTAAAAAAAAAAAATTCCCATGTTATTTAAATGGGAAATAGAAAATTGCGATCCGCGACCTCTAAATCTTCAATTTAAAAGCTCAAATTTTGACGAGGTCTTTGTGTTGACATCCTCTGAAAGAATTTGCCGACCATTTGAAGAAAAAGAAAAAGTCGATTTTTTTGAAACACCCTAATATATATATATATATATATATATATATTAAATGGTATATTGGTAGGTCTGCCGTACTTTGGCAAAACCTAGTAACTATGATTTTAATATTTACAAATATGAGTTACTATATTTTGTTAATTTATTTATATAAGTAATTATGCAAAAGCTGGCCATATTAATTGCTAGTTAATAGGGTTGTGCCTGGTCAATTGACCGCGGTCAATTGAACGAGATTTTTACCTATTTTGACAGAAGAGATTTTGACCATGTCAATATCGGTCAAAAACTTTTAATTCAACCGCGCGCGGCGGCGGCGCTACCTAGCGGAAAATATAAAAAGTATTAAATAAATGTTCGTTAGTGGACCATGGCGCAATCATAATAATGCTTTTTAATTAGTGTTCTGGGTCATTTTTGACTAATTAACTTTAAGAGAGTAAAGGCAATGGCGAGGGTGGGTTCAGTGACGAGGATTATGTGCCGTTATCTACGCATGCTAGCACCGTGTTGTCGGTTTTTGGTTCTTAAAAGAAACGTATGTCTGACGACGTTTCGGTATAATCTCATGTACCATCTTCAGGTCTTATCTGCTGGGCTGCTGTTGCTGCTCTGCTGCGAGCTAGACGTGAATGTTCTTAAAAAAAATGATATGAATGTTTTTTTGTGCCTCAGAATGGTTTCTTTATTTTTTGTTAGCTGTTTTTCAATAAATATACGTTTCTTTTAGTAATTTTACTCATGCCTTCATTTCTAAAACTTTGTTACTTAAATTTAAAGTTGTTGATAAATTAGTATTGATAGGTAATTGTGCATAAAGTAGATAACTCGTATTAAATCATTGTTTTACTATATTTTCTTCTTTTATAGGTTTTACTTATAATAATTATGCATAAAGTAATTTAATAAATCAATTTAACTGTTTTTAAGATGATATTATCGAAAATGATTAATAAACGTTCAAATCAAGTACAACTATAAAGTTATATGGATTTCAGTCGGCCACCAGCCCTCTCTATCGCTATCTCTCTCACCGGCCGCAGTGCCTTGAATGCGGTCCGCTCCAAGCGGTGCGACGGATTACCAGTCTTATGTAGTATCATGGTGGACACTTAAACATCGTGGTTAATTAAACATCGAAACGTTGTGTATCCAATAAAATCAATACAAAGTCCGACAATCTAAGTTTAACTAAAAAATAAGGTAAGGTGAACAAACTGGTCGACGTAAAAATTTAAATTTGTGGTCAGTAAAAGCAAAGCATTGCTATCATTGGGATAAAACATAAATTCTTTTTCATACTTTTTTTATCTTGCGATGAGTTTTTTCAGCAAAGGTAAAGGTTTCTTCTAATAACTCATTAGCACCTAGCACACTCCGATGCAGGATAGATAATTATCCATTTTTTTCACATCAGAAACTTAATATCACAAAATTTTAGTTGTAAAAATTGAGGACTGACTGTTACTTAAAAATGTCAAACCGCAAGCCAATTAAGTTAAAGAAACAAAAAGGTAACATGATTAAATTTTATCATGAGAGACTGGGTAATCAGAATAAAAGACAGATTCTAAAAAGAAAAATATCATTTGATCTTTAAATAGCGAGTTATGGAAAGGTTGCATTTATGGGAAGGCACATGTCATAAAATTTGGTTCTAGAGAGAAAGACCTACAAAACAAGGAGAGCTAATTCACTTTGACGTGTGTAGACCTTTTGGAAAATAAGATCGAAACTAGGTACTTTTGTCTATTCAAAGATGACTACATTAAATTTTGAAGAGTATTCTTCATAAGGCACAAATCAGAAGTTGTAATTCACCTAAGAACATTTTAGCAGAGGTAAAAGTTGCTGGCTATGTTGTTAAAGAATTCCTGTCAAAAAACAGGGGTAAATTTGATACTGGGCAAAAATCACGGAGACTTTGAACTCAGCACAAAAAGACTCAGTTCTTGGCCTAATGACAAATAAATATTAAAAAAAAATCTGTAAAATTATTTAATCCGTTTTTGAGTTAATTAACTAAAAAAGGATTGTAATGTGCAAGAATGTAGCAAAGCGCGTCAATATGCTTTACACAGCGTGGTTTACCGTACTTTTTTTAATGCAATGTTTTTAAATTAGAAATTACAACAAATATCAGAAAAAAACATTCATACAATTTAAAATAAATGCAATTTACCCAGGCATTGCTAATAGGTTAAATATTAACTGTATAAACCATTTTTTATAGGGTGGTGATAAATTGCAAGAAGCCTATTACATTTATCAAGAAATGGTGGATAAATATGGTTCTACCTCAATGCTTTTAAATGGGCAAGCTGTTACATTTATTGGTCAAGGAAAGTATGAGGAAGCTGAGTCGGCTTTACAAGAAGCACTTGACAGAGATCCAAATTATCCTGATACCTTAATAAACATGATCGCTTTAAATAGGCATCTTGGAAAAGGTCCAGAGGTATTTAAATTTGGTTGATACTAACAATACTAACAATCATGAAAAAGATTTATTTAACATAATTATTTTTTAGATTGGAAATAGATATTTGTCCCAACTAAAAGATGGTCATGCAAATCACCCTTACATTAAAGATTTAAAGCAAAAAGAAACTGATTTTGAAAGAATTTGTCTTCAATATGTTCCAATTAAGCCATCTGCTTGATTTTTAATAATTCCGTTATGAAAATAATCTAATCTAATGTAAGTTTTATTGTATTCTTTTATTGTATGTATATTAAAATGTTTATAACTAGATTTTTGTTTTTTTTATCCTAATAAATATTATACTACCACGATAAGGGGGTAACTGGGGTCGAGAATTCTTTAAAGGGCTCAACTAAACAAATATTAAGTACTAATAAGAATGTATTTAAATAATAGTATGAATAACAATTAATTAAATATAAATATAACATGATAAATCTGGGACCAAACGCCAAGGTATTTCTTTTAACATTTTAATTACATCTATCCTCAACTAGATCTACTTTTGCACTACTCTCATTGACCTACATTTTGCTATATTTACTTTATATATTTGATAATAAAATATAAATAACCTTGTGTTAGCCAGTTCCTCTTATTGTTTAGAGATAAACATAAATTTCACTTGTTACCATTAATTTCACTTGTTACCATTACGTGATGTTACTATTAGTAAACTACCTACATGTCATCAAGTCTAAAAACAGGCCATATAGGTAAATAGTATATTTTCTCGATTTTTATGTAAGAATGTCATATTCTCGCACGCAAAATCGTTGAAGAATGAAGCTCATTCTTAAACGATTTTTGGTAACATTTAGTTTTTAAGTATTGGTACCCTCAAAATGTCAGTTTAATAAACTCAAATTCATTACTTTTAGGATTATTTATAATAGCTTTGTTTGTTATCCTGCACTATAGTGCAACCTGAACTACACTTTTATTAAAAATGAAGCCTTTATTATTGTTTTATTATATAAAGTTTGCTCCAACAATGCATTTTAATGCAAAATTTTAAGTTTAATGTGAAAAAGTGCAGTTCAGTTGTACTTGTGCAGGATAACAAATATTGACAAATAAATGAGCCAAACAGGTCAATTAAACTATATTTTATTGGAAATATTATATACCCACAGTACACAAAACTACTATAAATTAATCACTAGCACAATTGTTATAAACTTTTATTGTAATGTTCAGTGTTGCTTGTAAAATCTCCTGTGACATTTTTCACTGCTAAAAGTAAACACAATTGTTCAAAAATTTCAGAAAACATTAAAAAATAATACAATACTTACACAAAACCTTATTATCCAGTTGACAAATACAGATTATTAATAAATAGTAAATAAAAATAAATCTACCTGTCCATGCAACTGTCATTTTGTGTTGCCAACTGACATTTTGCGAGAAAAATCCCCCAACTAACAACGACCACAAAACATTTAAAAAAATCTAAATAAAAGTTAAAATCGAGAAAATAGTATAAAGCACACGTTGCAGAAGGCTATTCTCGCACTCATTCGTTCGTCCACTCGCTCCTTCGTCGCTCGAGGCCAAATTTCGAATTCGTGCGAGAATATGTGGCCTTCTGCAACTTGTACTTTAATATACTATTTCCTATGTGACTTATAGCATTGAGTAAAGAAGTGGGGAAGAGGCGTGGTCTAATGTATTTAAAATAACTCCAAAATCGATTTCGAATGTTAGAGGCGCCACCGTCGATTTCATTTCAGAATTTAAATTCTAAATTAGAGTGAGACCGTTAGAGTGAGACAGTAAGAAACGCGTCGTCATCAGCATCCCCACTTTCTATGCATGCATCGTGAAGGTCGACTGGTTTGTTCTGTAGTCGACTTGATTAAATTCAATTTAGTTTGCACAAAGCAATTGCTCAAGTAGGTTATTGTACTTAATTCGTTAGCGAAAATGAATAATTTACCTACAAATACTTGTTTATATAACAAATGTTTTAAAAAAAAGGCAAATTTCCAATTAAAGACACCGAACGGTGTGAAATTTGGAAAAAAAATTCCGGAAATCCACTTTTATTGGATTTAGATTATAATGATCTAAAATTTAAATGTATTTGTGAAAAACATTTTTTGCCGAAGGACATTCTTACAAGCAAACGAAAAACTTTAACAAAAACTGCTGTACTCATTTGTTGTAAGTTGTTAGGGATATCCTTTTTTAATAATTAATTCTTTAAACGCATTAAACAATTAATTTTATATTCTTTATGTAAATAAATCATTACAGGTGCGTGGAAATATATTTATTAATTTTTAAGTGACAATATAATTCATTAATATTAGAACCAATAAAATGCCAGTATTCCATAGTGACGTATTTTATCACAGCGGCAATAATTTTTATCATCTTGTTTACACGTTACTATGAACTTTGACGTTTTTTTGATTTGACATTTGTTGTCATTTAAATACTGTGTTTGTTACCTAAATGATTAAAATAATGAATTATAAACTCTAAAAGATCGATGGGTTGGTGTAAACGATAATAAAATTAAGGTAAGTTTGAATAAATAAGGTTTATTAAAGTCTTTTTATATTTTAAAGCACATTTTAATTTCAAATGTCAAACTAAAAATTCGTTAAATCCTAAAATTCATTATATTTTCTCACTAAATATAACTCGTGGTATGATTAATTATCGATGATATTTACTCATTAAAACCGAAGCAGCACATTTCACTCGTCCTGCGGACTCGTGAAATCTGCAGCTCGGTTTCAATTCGAAAATATCATCGATGATAATCATATCACTAGTTATATTATGGGTGAAAATAAAGATAAAACTACAAAAAAAAACAATATAATATTATTTGTTTTGTTTATCTTAAAATGACATTGTTATTATCAAAAATCTTGCAATAGGCGTTCACTTCACGGTATTTGCTTAATGTTTTTTGATGTTTATATTTTTCAATTGTTTTTAAACTTTCTTATTTATTTATATTTAAATGTTCAAACTATTCAAATGTGTTGCTTAATATTTTGTTTTTGGTGATTTAATTTAAAAAAATGCTACATACTAATCGGCAACCAAATTTTGTTTTAGTTTTGAAATAGACACACCCGTGCGCACGGGGGGTTTGGGAGTTTAAAATTTAAACCCCCGGGGTTTTAAAAGAATATTAATAATTTTTTAAAATTATTTTGAACAAAATTCCTCTTCCGGTTTTAACAGAAGCGATTGTTTATTAATTTAAAAAGGGGGTTTAAAATTTAAATCCCCGGGGTTTTAAAAGAATATTAATAATTTTTTAAAATTATTTTGAACAAAATTCCTCTTCCGGTTTTAACAGAAGCGATTGTTTATTAATTTAAAAAGGGGGTTTAAAATTTAAACCCCAGGGGTTTTAACAGAATATTAATAATTTTTTTAAATTATTTTGAACAAAATTCCTCTTCCGGTTTTAACAGAAGCGATTGTTTATTAATTTAAAAAGTAATATTTAAAAATTTGAAATATTTAATACATAATAGGAATTGTACAATATTTTTGTTATTATTAACTTTAGGTATGGTATAGGAAATGGTTATATCAATGAAAAGGTACAGGGCGTTGCATTAAAAATAAAAAAGTTATTGCTGTTTCAAGTTAGTTTACATTTAGGGGAGAGTGGGGCAAAGCGGAACAATATTTGATTTTTTTTAAATAGTAGTGATAGAATTTGAAAATAAGGCACTTACGTGTTGTTAATTAAATGGTCATTATGTTGTTGAAAATGACAAAAATTTGAAAACTCTGGAATCATGGTTTTTCCAAATATCATTGTTTTTTTTAATTTCATTTTGTTCCACTTTGCCCCTTTTATGGGGCAAAGTGTAATATATCGTGGGGTATAATATTACAATTTTGGAGCTGCTTAAGAAATATTAAAAAATAATTTAATTTTTGTAATGAATAATATATATGAGAAAAAAAAATCGGCAAAATGTTAGTGTTTTTTAAAATTTGTCTTTTAATTTAATACTTTTAAATTTAGTTAATTTTTTAGTGGAAAAATTTAAATTTGTCTAATATATTTTTTGGCCATGACACAAAAAAAATACGTTTATTTTTATTTTCAATATTATATTAAAAAATTACGATGGATATGATATTTCTAAATTGAAAAACTAGAAAAATCGATCTTTTTACAACTGTTATTTTATTTAATATATTCCAAAAAAACTACCTTTTTTTAAATAAAATTTTCATAAAAAAGTATAAGATTTTTTGAAATTCATCATTGGATATTTTGCCAACAAAAATTAGGGATTTGTTTAATCTTATTTTATTTACAAAAAAATCGATTAGTTTAGAAAAATCATAATTATCTAACGTAATAAGGGCCGTACATAAATGATGTCACACACTTAGGGAGGAGGAAGGGGTCGTCGTATACAGGGGAACCCAACAAAGTATCCAACAACACTTTGACAGATGTCAAGTGAACAGCTGACATATGTCAAGTGACAGATGTCAAGTTAACAGATGACATATGGTAGGTGATATATGACAGGTGGCAGATGACAAATGACAGGTGACAGATGATAAATGGCAGGTGAGAGATTACAGGTGACAGATGACATGTGAGAAATATAAAAATCATCTTTAAAATTACTACCCAGTTTAGGTGAAAGCATATTGGCAAAATTTCAATTTATTCCTGTACACTGTAGGTAATAATAATAACTATATTACAATGGGTTTTTTTAAATTAATCTAGGTTAAATAAGCTTAAATATAATAGTTTTTTGGAATTTAATTAATGTTTATAAACATTAACTAATTAACTATTAACATTTTTTTTAGCAAAAATTTCGTGGGATAGACCTTACTTAAAAATTAAATTAGTGTGACGTGACGCCAATGGGGAGGGGGGTCTCATAATTTGTGACACTTTGTGGCAAGGGGGGAGGGGGGTTAAAAATATCAAAAAAACATGTGACATCATTTATGGACGGCCCCTAAGATACTCAATGATTTAATATTAAAAAATAATAATACGTGTAAAATTTTTACCTGCCAAACAAAAAATATACCACAGACAAATTTAAATCTTTTAAAATTTGCATATCTACTCTTAAATATAACTTGATAACATGGATTGGTTTTAATTTTTTTTTAATTTAATATTTTTTAAATTTGCAGATACTGAAGAAAATTTTAGTGTCTTTAGGGAAACAAATGTAAAAACCTATGAGATTAACAGGCAAAATATTGAGAATGAAAATTTTGTAGATAATTTAGATAGCCCA